ATGCAAAACAACGGAAATACACATTTGTTTCTGTATAATAAGAAAACTATTGATAAACTAAAGCTATCCTAAGCATTTCACATTGACAAAAAATAAAATGAATTTCAGTTGGATTCTTGGTTTTGTATAATTTCAAACAGTAAGGTATAAATCAATTAACGTGCCTTTTTTTGGTTTGGTGGTGTTTTTATTTTTGTTTGTTTCTTTGCTTTTTGCTTGCTTGATTTTATTTAGGATGATTTTTTCTACTACAGATTTTGTTCAAGGGAATAAGGCCAGGTTCCCAGTGTGCAAAAATACAGCCCAACTCTGGGAAGTCAGTCAGAAACTAAACTTGGAACTGACCAACGGCAATAAATATAGAATGCCAAGGTAGATAGAGAAACCTGCATAATGCTAAAACAAAAAGAAGGGTGTTCTTAGCATACAAAATGATTTTCTCTCATACCAGAGCCAATGTCTTATATATCACTGAAGCTTTAAAATTTGAGCCACTATAATAAGTAAAAAACAAATGCATAAAATACATAAAATGAAGAAGAAAATGGAATAAATTTACAAAGATTGTGTTACTAAATAAATTAGTTGTACTTTCTAGTAAGTAGTTTTAGAAATGTTTTGAGCTTCTGTACACATGACCAACAAGAAAGCATATTTATTATTTGTAAACAGATTAAATATATTATTACATTTAATCTTCAACCCCCCTAGAAATTAGGCATTAATATCTCTGTTTTAGAGATGAAGACACAGATGCTCAGAAAGAGTTAATAATTTACCCTAGATGCAAAATCAGAGCTGTCTGATTTCAAAGTTCTCTTTTCTTTTAACAATATTAACTGTAATGAAATACATATTATAATTTTCACCTGATCAGGAATAATATCAAGAAGTCATGCTAAATATCTACTATATTCACAGCACTCCACTATTGGATACTGGGTTGGAGATATAAGTTAAGCATGGACATAAATCTATGAACAGTTTTTGAGGGAGACGATCATTCCAGGATATCATTAAAATTATTTAAAATGTTTAAAATTATTTACATGCAGAGTATAGATAAGTACATTATGTAGTTGATACCATTTCTTTCAATATTTCTTTTGAAAATATCTGATATATGAAGACAGCAGAGCAGAGAAATGGAAAAAGAAATATATTTTTAGTCATTCAATCAACTAATCCTGAAGTCTGCTCCTATCTTTAGACTTCCTGTTATGTAAAATCATAAATATCCTTATGATTTATGCCTGCTTGATTTGGCTTTCAGTTACATGAGCCTGAAAATATCATAGCTAATGCATATTATTATATAGAGATACAAAGATGTTAACATCTAGAAAGTGTAAGAAGTGTCTACTTTGTTCAGGTAACTTTCACTATGCATTCACTTAACAATAGTTTTATGAATTCCAATAAAACCATTGTTCCAGATATTGGGAATAGTAATATGAAACATTTTCTCAAGGAGCTACTGTGCTCTGCACATTAGAGATATTCAATAAATCACAGAATGCTAGAAGTCACCTAATCCAGTGATCTGATTTTCCACACAAGGAATCTGAGACCACATCACTAGTGACAATGTAAAGTAAAAGGTCGGATCTCATCTCCTAAGCCAGAAATAATATGGTAGAGTCACATAGCCTATAAGCACTTGGAAGGGAATTTTAAAAATGTTTCAACATCCAAGTTGGATCAGGCAAATTATTTTATTTCTCATGCCATGGTCTTATACCATGTAAAGTAAACGAAATAATATTATACTTATATATTTGTTTCCATTCATACCTTCTAGAACTCTTGATTTTTTTTCAGCCTCCCAAAATAAAGCCATATTAAGTTCTGGCCAATAGGATATAAACATAAGTTTTGTGGTCCTTTTTTAGAAACCTTCACTAAAACATAGCCTGCTGTGCCCCCTCTTTCTCATCTTTCCTGCTATTTCAAATGTGCACATGGTGACTGTGTCATTAGGACTAAGACCACCCGTGGAATGGAAGAACTAAAAACTAGAAGCATTTTGACTTCCAGATAACTGTCAGACCAGTCCTGGACTGCCTGCGTGCAAGAGGAATCAACTTCTTTTATAAGTCAATATTTTGGGAGCTCTCTGGTACTCCCAGGCAAGTAGAACACTAACATCCTAACGTTAAAAAAATATGTATTATTTTAGTCAGAATGGTTTTGTAGAAAATAAGAGGTACATATATATTTTCATTACATAAATATCATTGGCTGGGTCTAATCTTGTGTTCTTAGTTATGGGACTGGAAATTAACCCTATAACAATTGTTTTAGTCCTGTGATATCTGCTTAGGAACATGTTGACAAGTCACACATACAGACACAACCAACACATACAGAAAGAGAAAGAGTGACAAGCCCTTGGATAAAGGCTCCAGTATCTACCTCTCTGTACTTTGAAGCATTGTGTGGTTTATTTAGCAACAACAAAAAGCTGCACTTGAATAAACAGTACTGTATTATTTTAAAGAAAGAATCTTTTCAAAGAAATACACAAATGATTGTTCAATCTGTTGTGTTTAACAGAATCTAACTGGATATTCTTCAAAATCATTATGCACCTTTGTCTGGATCCCAAACTAAGAGTGTATTCATGGACTTGTAAGAACCAACATTTTAGTTTTTGGCATGGAGCTGCCTGCACCACTCCTGCTAGCTATACTCTAAATTCTCCACAATCTGAGAACTCTAATATGGGAGTTATTAGATAAACTGAATATTAAGACATTTTGGTTAATTAATCACATTCCAAAGATGAGTGCATAGATCATTAGATCAAAAACTCATGTCCTGGACTAAATCAAACTCTCTTTTCTTTCTTTCTCCTCCTTCTCCTTCTCTTCTCCTACTTATTCTCCTCCTTGGCATTTTGATCAAAGAGTTTCTCCGACCTACATAAAGACATATGAAGGACTGTCACTGTAATTTATGACCATAGGCCAAATCAAAGACAAAAATTATTTTCTATCTCAGACAGAAATTGTGAAGCTAGGAAGTTTCTCATTTACTCACAGCTTCCAGCTACCTTTTCTCCAGAAGAGTTAAATGGAAGACATTGGTTATTTATCAGTTTAGGTGCACTGTTTTGGATAAATTACTGCATATACAACTAGAATTGCCAAAGAACATTGGGCATCTATGTTCTGTCTCTATAAATTTGTCAAATTAATCAGTGATGCACAACATCAGAGCTGAACTTTTTACACTTTAGTTTTGAAGCCAGTTCTCCTTAGAATTTACTTTTTTTTTTTTTTTATTTTGTCAATATACACTGTATATGATTATTATGGCCCGTCACCGACACCTCCCTCCCTCCTCCCTCTCTCCCCTCCCCCCCTAGCATGTCCTTTCCGTTTGCTTGTTGTAACAACTTCATGGAAGTATAGTTGTTATATCTTCTTCCCCCCCCCCCCCCCCTCCGGTTTTTTTTTTTTTTGTGTGGGTGGGGGGGGGGGGGTTTGGGGGGGGATTTTTTTTTTTAAAAAAAAAAATCCCCCCCCACCCACCCCCCCCCCCCCCCCCGGTTTTTTTTTTTTTTGTGTGGGTGGGGGGGGGGGGGTTTGGGGGGGGATTTTTTTTTTTAAAAAAAAAAATCCCCCCCCACCCACCCCCCCCCCCCCCCCCGGTTTTTTTTTTTTTTGTGTGGGTGGGGGGGGGGGGGTTTGGGGGGGGATTTTTTTTTTTAAAAAAAAAAATCCCCCCCCACCCACCCCCCCCCCCCCCCCCGGTTTTTTTTTTTTTTGTGTGTGTGTGTGTGTGTGTGTGTATGTGGGTGAATTTACTTTTTGACAAAAAAGTTACTTTTGAGCTACAGATCCAAGCAGGAGAAATCCCATTCTATGTCAATGATAACTCAATTTACAAATGCAATAAATCTATTCTCCTTTACCCTGATTAGAACTGCCTTCCCACCTTCTCCCCTATCAAATTACATAATTGTGTTCTTAAGTATTTTTTGTAAATTAGGTCACTTCCACCTGTATGCCCAAATGTTTCTGTGGTTAGTTTTAATACTCTGAAAGGAAAAAGAAATTCTTTACTTTCACCATCTTCATTAAGTTCTGATTGCAGGGCTTTATTACAGAAACAATAATAAAATATTGTTATAGTGTGGAGTCAGATATAGATGTAGTATAAATAGTCTAGATCCTAAATTGGCAGTGTGAGGACACAAACTTCATTCACATCTTGAAACACATCTCTCTTTCATTCAATGAATATTTACTGAGTACCTACTCTGCAACAACACAAAGGAAAGCAGCTAGGAAAATGTATAAGCTTGAGTATACAAACTTAAGAATTCTATAGACCAGTAGGCAAGATAGCATGCATATAAGTGATTTTTCAAGGTGGCTTGTTATAAATGCTCTAATACTGAGGCAAATAAGAGAATGGAGATGTCCTTTCCAATAGAACAATGAGAAATGATTTGAGAATGAGATGGCATTAGAACCAGGCAGAATTTGCAGCAGGCAAAACTGAAAGAACGGTATTCCTGGCTGAGAAAGATAAAAAAAGAATAAGATAAAATCTGTGTCACTCAGCGTGGCTGAGATGCAATATATATATGTAGACAAATGGTACCAAACACCTGTAGAAAGTTGAGTTGGAGCTTATTGTGGGACTTCTAATGTCAAGTTAAGCATTTAGAGGTTATTCAGTAAGAGGGAAAAAGTAGAAAGAGGAGTATCATGCTGAGTGATGTTTAGGTAGAATAATTCAAGTCACTTGCTGGATAGGTTAGGTAAGAGAGACTGTCAGCAAGAAAACAGATTTGAGACGATTCTATTAGTAAGTAAATGAGAAATAAAAAGTGACACATAGAGTGTTAACAGAGAAAAGAGGAAACAAAGAACAAGGACAAAAAAATGTTACTAAGACCCAACTGACAGAATTAAACAGATGAAGGAGTCAGAAAAAAAGAGATGGCGTAAACTTCCAAATTTCTAGTGTAGTTGAACTAGAGATCAATGCGGCCACTAAAAGAAACTGGGAAATCAGCAGACAGAGCGTACTACAATGGATTTTTCAAGAGAGAACCAGGGCATACATGTGGATATGTCCAGAGACTAGTTGAAAAACATGAGACTGGTACCAGTCAGAGAGAACTGGATGAAAATTTGGTAGTTGTCAGATTGGAAGTGAGGTCTGAACACATATGACTGTATAAATTCATTAACAACAGCAAGCAGAGAAGTATGGCTTTATAATTGGTAGATAAATCTTCTCCTCAGAGGAAATTTAATCTGTATATCTTGAGAAATACAGAGCCTTACATACATTGAAATTCCATAGCAATGACTTGTCCTCTCCACAGCCACTGCCAAGAATTACCACTTTGCCATAATGGTGTTTTTTGGTAGGGGCAAATGCTTTAGAGTATGATTAGTGATTAACTGGCTGGCCTATCTTTATTCTTGGCAAGGTTATAAATGTACAGGAAAAATAAAGAATGCCTAGATTTACTAGCAAATGTCAAATCTTGAAATTTCAAAGTTATGATTATCACCATCTTTATGTTTCCTGAGGATATTGGAACAATTAAAAATCTTCAAAAGTTGAGTGATAAGCAAAATGAACAACATGCAACTGAAAATACATATATATTGCATCTAGTTATTGGATTATATTGGATCACATATCATCTGAGTTAATGTCCTACTGAAAATGTGTAATTGTCATTGCTCTTATTTGCACAAGTCACATCTGTAGGAAAGCTTTTATTTTTACTTATTTATTTATTATTTATTATTAGCATATTCATTCTTACAAATCATGATATTTCTTTATGCCTTTTGCCTGACCTATCACTTCCTAAATGTCCTCCCTTCCTCCCCCTATCTCTATCATCCTTACAATTATTCTCTCCTTCTGAAAGTTCAACGCATTGCTGTGGTCTTTTCCTCTTTCTTTTCTTCATTTCTTCCTCTGAAAGTTTTTATTATTAAGAACACAAAAACATCTATCTATCTGTATTTTCAAATAGTTGAATATTTAGATAGCACTTTGCAAATGTTTTATATAAAGTTCTTTTAAACATATCTTAATTATCAAACACAAAAATAATAATAAAATCAGACTATGTGTTGTTTGATAACAAGACAAATGGTCTATTTATGAGTTATATATACTCCATAAGTCTGTAAATATTCCTCAAACCAAATCTACATCTACACTGCTTCATAAATTAAAGATATATTTTTCCATTCACAAGTGTTTCTCCACTTTCATAAGAACAGCTTTTGATTTATTTCTTCATTTTTGTTTAAATTAAATCAAACTGTTTTAACATATAATAAATCTTGAACATAAATACTGAACTTTAAGTCTCAATGACAAGTCAATAAGTAAAAAAAGTAATTTTTGATTTCTCTATATTTCTTAATAAAATTTATAACATTGCCTTAAAAATTTCTGTTCCCTACCTTCAATAGTTTTGTGCTGTTTTGTTTTGGAAGATAGCAACAAATGCAAAAGAAAATTTGGGAGGACTCTTTCATATAAATTGATCACAGAATCTTATATCTCTCACATTGACTCTTTTCTAATAATAATATTGAAATGATCTCATTGAATAGAGGCAAAAGTCTACCAAATGATTAAGAAGATCTAGCAATTGACTTAAAAGTTAATTTCAACTTACTGTTTTTTTTAAAGTACAGGAATTATAACTTCAAACAAAAATGCCAGTCACATAAAAGTTTTTTTTAAAAAGTGTTATATGCCCATAAATAAACACTATTCAGAACATTAGAAAAATGTGTATTGTTTTTAAGTTAAATGTACTCAAAATGGAAGAAAATAATTTTCTGAAGAGGAATGCATTGATGTCTTCATTGCAAAGAATTCACGTGTCATTGACAAATTATTAGCTAAAAAAGGAAATTTTCAGGTATAATTTTTTAAATAGTCTACAAAATTTTTAAATTTACAAAAACAATCCAATCTCCTACATTTAGTCATTTCTCTTTAGTGGTAAAATAAGGCACTGTAGAATTTTTAGTTAGCCATGGTAATTAGAAATACATAGGAAGAACTGACAAAGTTAAATTTACAAAGTCAGCATCAAATTTGGCCTTTATTTCCTTATTCCCTCTCCCACTAAATCCTTGATTTTATACGAATAGCTTCAGAGCAAATTTATTTGAATGAGTTAGGTTTTTAGTTTCTTATCAAATCCCTTGGGTACTTGAGAATAGATGAAAAATTGTCTTTTCCCATAAAGTTACTGAAGAAACATGGAGGAAAAAAAGCATCCTATGTCTATGAGTTTCTTGACTCCTACCCAATTGCCACTTCCACAACCACATACACAACTGTCTGTGGGCCGCAGGAGTGGATCACAAGAAAAATTACCTAATTGTCTCCCAGATCACCTCCAGTACGTAATAAGCCATCAAACTATAAGTATTGTTTATATTGTATGTAGTAATACATATGTTCTTATAAATCTTACTTTTTTCATATATACATGTTCAAAGAATATCACAGAACTGACCAAATACAAGTCCATCTTTTCTCTAGTTTCTCTAATAAGAGGACAATGACCTAATCCTTCAAAGTGAACAAAAAGGCATCTTACTTCCAGGCTATGTCATAGTGTTAAACTGTGTCCTGCATACACTTGGGTTTTTGTCAGCAATGACAAAGAAGACCAAAATCAATATTAAATTGCTAACTCCAAATATTAATAAATGGTTTCTGCAGTTAAATAAAGACTGATAAGCTTGAATGTTAGCTTGAGGGAATAGCCTATTCTTTTCTTTCCCTTTCTATATTTGCTTTTGCCAAACTTCACTCAGGCTGGAAATAATCATAATAATTGGAACCAGCAGAAGGAAATAGCTGATGCTGCTAGGCAAGATGAAATAAATCTGCAACTCAAGTAATACTAAATATAAGCTCCACATGAGCATACTAGAACAAAACACCTGAGATAAGACAGTTCTTTGGAGCCAAATCCTGAAGTTTACAAGTAGATACATTTTAGAAATGCAATATTTGTAATGTATCTGTATGCCACTGAGTGTAAACAAACAGCAAATTTATGTCAACTGTATCAATTTCCTAGGGGGAAGAAAGAAGACAAATGTTTGATTTCTGAGAAAAATATTCGTACAAAGTGATAGTTTATAATAAACTTCTAAGTTCACAAAATAGTGTTATTTAAAAAGTCAGAAAGCACAGAAACACTGTTAGGAAAATGTTAAATTCTTTGCTATTTGTAGTATTATATTTTTTCTGTCTTTTAACACAGTCTTATTGTAGTATTTTCACAGTTGCCAATAGCGTACGATATGCAGTATTGAAACAGCAGAATAGGAAATATAACCTTTCTAAAATGCTTATGATTTCAGCATGAATATTAGCAATTAATCTTGAAGTGTTTAAATCATTCTCAGATAGGAAAAAGAAGAAATGAATGCCATTTCTATCATAAAATGTGAAGGTTTGGAAAGAGAAACTGAACTAGAAATGTGACACATTTGTGTACCGTAACTGTCTACTCTGCATTTTGGGGCACCTATCTAAGGGATTGGTTCATTAGTCCTCTAGACTCTGCCCTATTCCATTTGAGCAATGTAGCAAAATGGAAAAGAGCGTAGACTTTTAAGTCAGGCAGCCACTTAGGACTGAGTGACCTTGGGTATTCTGTGTGACTTTAGCCAAGTAATGAAGCTCTATTTGCTTCAGTTCCTCATGTTTAACTGGGATGATAAAATGCTTTCCTCATAGAGTTAAAGTGAGCCTCAAATGAGTGTAATTAGATATGAAGTGGGACTTTTCCTGTTTCCCTGGAGTATAGCTAAGGCTTCACAGCTGAGGATAACAGGGAATAAGCAAGTTACCAATCATACTCATGGTGAAACCAGTTCAAAGACCATCACTCCCAATAGCCTAGATGGGAAGGCTACATATTTGAAAAGGGATTCTATGAAAAAAGTGCCTTGAAGAGAATCTTAATAGACAATGGAGTATCATCTCACCTTCCCTCTTAGATGGGAGGGATGTATTGCATGCAGTGAAGTGGTCACTCACAAGGGTTACTCCCAGACCAGCTGCTTGTTGAATTCTTGAAACAGTTGTAGTTGCCCCCTGCAAAGTACAAGAGAGTACTTGGAAGAATTTGAGAAGTTTTCCCATGAGCCTGGAGGATATTTATAAAAATAGGAATTTATGCCTGCTTCTTGCCAGAATAATTCTGAAGGTGGGAGTCTGGGTGGAGGCATCCATGATATTTAGGCAAGAAAAGATGTGGCTGCATTTCCACTACATAACGGGTCAAGGATGCACAAAGTTTTCCATAGTAAATTAGATGCCTCAGAAGAAAGCTCTCTTGAAAGGATGCTGCTTAAGTAGCCTGTCTGCTCGGTCATGGAGACAGCAACAGAAAGAGCCTGGAGATGTACAGCAGGAGGCAGGAGCTGACGGTGGGAACTGTAAGTGCTCGTCTTTAGCATCCATTGCCCTGTCAGGAAACATTGCAATAGGCACAGTGAGGCGTGCAGAAGACGATGAGGAGGCCGAGTATCTTTTAAGAACATACAAATATGTTCTATAACAGAAAACCAGCATCTGGATGCTTAACATAACAGAGAACACATATGGGCAGACTAGAAAGAACTGGAGAAACAACACTTTGCTTCTTTATTCTTGTTTCTCCTCCTCCCTTGCCCTGACCTCACAGGAGACAAAAGAAGGTGGGTTTGGGAGAAGATGGAGCAAATAAAGAAAAGAAAAACACATTTGTCTCCCTCGTTACCGGTTCCCAGAGTTCCTGAGGGGGACTGAGCTCAAAAGATGGGAGAACCATTTGATTGGATGCAAGATTAAAGTTTGTATTTGGAACATTTTTTTTACACCCTCAAATGAGACTATTCTGATATATGAATGTAACAAACAGTATGAGGTCGGCCAGAGATGCTGTCCGGGGATGGGACAGTAAGTCTGACAGAGTGTATTTCAAGGCAGGGGTAGGTGAGAAAAAAATAACTGTTTCTTGTTTGCACCCTTTGAGCAAACCTGCTTAATAAATTGGTCTCACGAGACAGCACATGTGATTGGAACATAGTAAGTTGTCAGTATAACCTAGCTATTGTTAGTTGCCCCTAAGTAAATTGAGCAATGTTTATGGTGCAGGGCTGA